TTGATTCTTCAAGTGAACGGCGTTAAAAGACGTCGGCATAATTGTATATCGTGTATTTCTTTTATTTTCCTTAAGTTTCCTAATTATTAGAAGACGTGACACCCACGCATCAATATGCTGTTTTACAAAAAAAGACATATATTAGTAACTTAAATAAATTTAAAAAAAATAATCAAATTGAAATATAAGAAAAATATAAGACTTACCCCTCCATCGAAATAGCCATTGTCTTCGACCCCTAATAATACGCCCCACCAAGACCGATCAAGCAACAAATAGATATCATCGTTGAGCTTGCATATTTCAGTGAAACACCCCTGGCTCCGCTCATGTAGATAAAAATCAACTGCGGTCTTAGCCCAAAGGGTGTTATCCAGAATTGTGTCCGGTAGTTGTCTCCTCTCCACTTCAGATACCGGTATGGTACTGGCCGGTAACTCATACGAGAGCCAACTTGAATCCATCATGTCCGGCACGTCAGAGGGTTTCTCAAGAATCTTACATATGACGCCATGTGAATCGGGCTCTTGAATGGTGGGAGGGACCTCTTCAACGATGACAGTGGCCTCTAACGGTGGGAGGGGACTCTCGAGGAATGATAGGGCCTCTTCAACGATAGGAGTGGACTCTTGAGGGATGACAAGCGAGTCGGGCTTCTTCTTGCGGTGTCTTCGCACTATTGGGGTGTACGGAGACTTAATAGCACGTGCACGCCGTCTGATGCGTGAACTCTGTCGTGCAAGAAAAACCCGACGTTAAAGCATCCACCTTATCGGGCCGCTAATAATTAAATACAAAAATCAATAAATAAACAGACATGATATTAAATAGTGAAACAAAGACAAATATTTTCAAACTTGCATTGAATTCACCCAAGTCATTATTCTATCATAGTTCACAAAATGCATCAGATAACAAAGGCAAATAGTTTCAAACTTGCAACACTGTCAACTTAGTATTTGTCTTTGTCTATTGGTTGAAGTAATGCAATTCATTCAAGTTTCAATTTGCAAGAAGAAGAATAGTTTCTGGAACTCAAATCGCAACGTGAAAATGACTATCGCAACGCGAAATGAAAATCGTAACGAGAGAATGAAAATCGCAACGCGAAACGAAAATCGCAACGAGAGAATCGCAACACGATTATAGTTTCGCGTTGCGATTTTTGGTTTCGCGTTGTGATTTTGTCGTTGCGATTCTGTCGTTGCGATTCTATCGTTGCGATTCTATCGTTGTGATTCTATCGTTGCGATTTTCGTTTCGTGTTGCGATTTTCATTCTCTCATTGCGATTTTCATTTCAACCAAAAGACAAAACAGTGTTACTAAAATATAGTTTCAAGAATAAACTATTTCTTCTTCTTATGCAAATTGAAACTTGAATGGATTGAATTACTTCAACCAAAAGACAAAACAAAGACAAATACTAACTTCAGAGTATTAAAGAATACACAGTTTAGCAGAATTGGCAGCAAACGAACAAATTTACTTTCAACCAAAAGACAAAACAAAGACAAATATTAATTTCACAGTGTTAAAGAATACACAGTTTAGCAGAATTAGCAGCAACCGAACAAATTTACTTTCAACCAAAAGACAAAACAAAGACAACTACTAACTTCACAGTGTTAAAGAATACACAGTTTAGCAGAATTGGCAGCAACCGAAAAAATTTACTTCAACCAAAAGACAAAACAAAAGACAAATACTAACTTCACAGTGTTAAAGAATACACAGTTTAGCAGAATTGGCAGCAACCGAACAAATTTACTTTCAACCAAAAGACAAAACAAAGACAAATACTAACTTCACAGTGTTAAAGAATACACAGTTTAGCAGAATTGGCAGCAACCCGAATAAATTTACTTCAACCAAAAGACAAAAACAAAGACAATATTAACTTCACAGTGTTAATAAACAGTTTAGCAGTATTGGCAGCAAACCGAATAAATTTACTAAGCAATCTAAGTGAAATGGTTAATCTAAGTGAAATTACGAGTAAATTTATCATCAAGTTAAATATGGAAAATATTAAACTTACCTCGTTCCGTAGAGTATGAACCTCATTCTACAACGATACTACCATCTCACGTAGAGCGGTAACCTCACCACGTAAAGTAGACACCTCCACACGCCATGCACCATCGTTATCGCGTAGAGTACCGATCTCCTCACGCAAGGCATTGACCTCATCACGTAACTCCCTTGACTCATCCCGTGGAGGTGGAGGTGGAGAACAGGGAGATAGAAGTCGTGGATCTTTTCCGGTCGCCTATCATGAGGTGATGGTGGAGAAAGGCTCGATGATGTGACGGGATAGGTGATGGCTCTCGTTGTAGAGGTGTATAGTCGGGTCGATCAGTGATGGCTCTGGGTGAGGTGATGGCTCTCGAAGTAGAGGAAGTGGAGGCTGCTCATCATTCGTGCCATCAAGAAAACACTGACTAGCTTGCCACCAATCAGTGGAAAGCTCAGCCTCCGTGGGTGTCAGTCTCATTAATGGAGTGTTGGCCTCCTAAAAATATAAAACTCAAACAAAGTTAAACGTCTACTATTAATAACTTGATTATTATAGTATTTTTGTTAACTTACATTATTATTGTCGCATATGGTATTAAGTCTTCCAATCCACAGACGTTCCTCTTCCAGGAATAGCCCTAGGAATCATTTGAAGTTTTTAATGCATATGTCTGCATGCTGGGGAAAGCCTCGAATATCCAAATCTACAACATATAATAACAAACATTAGTAATTGTTAAATAATAATTATAATTTTGAAAACATTATATAGAAATTCTTACCTTAAAGGCCCAAACAAATCCTGACAAAGTGTATTCGACCATCGCCACGCAAACTTTTGCGGTTATCAAAGGCAGACGACAACCTTAGTCCAGGTAGCTTCCATATATACGAACCCCACGGAAACAGATTCCATGCATTTAGGTCCTCTACCAATATATTAGCTCCTGAGGAATAGGTTGTCTGACCTCTCTGCCTAAAAAGCCGGCATACAAAGTAGTAGAAGGCTACTCGAACAACATCGACGTCATTCATCCGAGTAAAACCATCTTTCTTATTAAACAATTTCTTCAGGTCGTCGACGTGTAAGTTCGGCTTCTCTATTGACTCATCAGAAAAACCTGGATAACCATGAGGGCGGGTGATATGATGAGTGTACCGGCCTACATCATCGTGTCTGAATCGTAGACAGTGATTAAGCATAACTCCTTCCGCCCAAACAAGTATACGCCGGTGGAAATGAAACATATCTCTTCCTCACCACGTTGTATACTGGTCGGGTAGATCGCTAGTCATGGTCTGAAGCCACAAATGGTTAAATTAGCATCTCCACCCGGATCTGTACTCTCAGCCATGGCCCGAAGCAGGTTTCTTCAAACAATTTTCTTTGTGCAGGTGAAAGCTTCGAAGCAATTGTAGTGGCTAGGCTAACTTTATTCCTTAATGTCAATGAAGCCGAAAAAAAATCTACAAAAAAAATAAACATACCAAGTAGATATACCAAAAACTACACTGTGAAGATATACCAAAAACAATAACATAAATAGTATTTATTCTTGAAACTAAAATTTGCAACACTGTTTTTCTTTTGGTTGAAATGAAAATCGCAACGAGAGAATGAAAATCGCAACGCGGAAATGACTATCGCAACGAGAGAATCGCAACGCGAAATGAAAATCGCAACGAGAGAATCGCAATGCAAAATGAACATCGCAACGCGAAATGAAAATCGCAATGCAATTTTGGTTTCGCGTTGCGATTTTCATTCTCGAAACTATTCTTCTTCTGCATTACTTCAACCAAAAGATAAAACAAAGACAAATACTAACTTCACAGGTAAAGACTAAACAGTTTAGCAGTATTGGCAGCAATCGAATGAATTTAATAAGAAATCTAAGTGAAATGGTAATCTATTATTGAATTACCAGTAACTTATCATCAATATATGAAAAACCTAAATAATGCAAAAATTTCAAAATAAAAATAATTAAAAAAACTAACCCTCAGAGGTTGATTTTCCATTTTTGAATGATTGTGAGGGATTTCTGACCGTGAATGGTTGTGAGGGATTTCGCCGGCGATGGGGACGGAAATATTCGGAGATGGGGATTTTAGGTTTGAGGTTATGAGTTGTGATTTTAGGTTTGAGGTTATGAGATGGAGATGGGATTGAGTGTTGTGATTTTAGGCTTGAGGTTATGAGTTGCGATTACTGTGGACGGTTCAGTTTCCGATATATTAAGAAATTCATGTTTCGAATTTGAAAAAAAATACGCGTTAATACGAATGGCGCTATGTAAATCGCATTGCGATAGTCAGATTCGCATTGCGATTTACGTATTCGCATTGCGATTTTCCTAATTCGCATTACGATTTACGTAATCGCGTTGTGATTTACGTATTCGCATTGCGAATTATGAAAATCGCAACGCGAATACGTAAATCGCAATGCGAATTAGGAAAATCGCAACGCGAATTTGGGAAATCGCAATGCGATAGTCAGAATCGCGTTGCGAATCTAGAAACTGATTTACGATACCGGAGATCGCGTTGCGAATTATCGATCGCATTGCGATTTAGTTGGTCATTTTGGCAAATCCAAAAAAGTTGGTTAAAATCGTATATTATAAGGCATTTTTGGTCACTGAGGTTATTTTCTCTATAATTAATTCATAATATGTCACATACTACATCATCGTATGAGATGACAAGACACATATCACGTCATCATCTTGTGTGATATGTCACATGTCAGTATCACTTTGGGCGATATGGCATGTGATATTGTCAATAATTCAACACATGTCCAAATGTCACGTCAACAACATACATTGATTATTAGTTAACTAATAATATTCATCTAATTAAAACTTAAAAATACTCGAAGAAAAAAGAAAAATAAGTCAAATGTTCATTCAATAAGAGCTCATTTAGTATTATGGCTATAAAGAAAAGCATATATAATAGAAACAAGTAACTCACAGGCAGCCAACTCAATTTGAGTATTGTAGATGAAGTTGAGAACCGCAGCAATGTCTTGCTCAAAGTCATAGAACGGTCCACCGTAGAAATTCATCTTTCTAAGCTTACACAGCCCCTCACTCAATTCCATCATAGCTCCCTTATGGTTCTCCATAATGGGAAGATGTCAGAAGATGAAGACAAGCATTTTAATAATGGGAATTCAGTTCCAAGTCCAAGCTGGTTAAAAAGGTGGTGGAATCCGACGGCACATTGTAGGATGCCATGAATGAGTGTTCTAGTAGGCTCCTCGGCTTTGTTCCATAGTGCCTCAAGTAGGTCATGGCACTTGTAGTATTCCCTTTGGTTGAAAAAGGGAAACACTCGTCGAAGCTATAATTCTCGTTGTCTTCGCTGCCGGATACCGATACGAAACACTGAACTTTCTGGGGCGCTTGGAATGAGCAAGGGTTGCGGTAAGAGAAAGAGGAAGAGAACAAGAAAAATGGTTGGGGTTATAGGTATGGTCGCAGTGATGGAGGGGCCAAGAATGAGTTGATGGCGGTGCTTGAGGAGCAGAAAATGGAGAGAGGTATGCCGATAGCGGTTTGAAGGCAAGAAAACCTCTTCCGGGAGAAAAAGGAGACCGACGGCGACGGAGAAGAGTGGCCTTGGCCTCTTCCTCTTTTGATTTTTATTTGTTTGTATGTATGGTAGTAGTTGATAGCCTTAATCTTTTAAAAAAAACTTAATGTAAATGATAGAGGAGTTCTATTAGTTTACTCTTCACAAAAAATATTATCTAAGGCTTAATATAATTTGCAACCCCCCCCCCGGGTTTATTTTTTTCCCTCTAGTATTTAATGTTTTTATATTGTTTTATGTTAATAAAAATTGCTTTTTTAAAAAAAATCGTTTACTTATTGTCATAATAATTTTTATAAATAAATTAATATTTAAATAATTATGAATTTATTTTGGAAAATTTGAATTTTTAATTTAATTTTAAATTTGAAGTATGATTTTGGATTAATTTGATTCAGAGTCGCTATCGACCTTTGGATTATTTAGGTCAAATACCTAACAATATTTTCCAAAAATAATTTTAAAGACATAAATTGATATGTGTATTGCCAGAAATTCATTTTTAAGGATTCGAGAGTCAATTAGGTGTGGAGAAGGGGAAAAAACCCACAGCGTCCAAAAATGGTACCTCTTGGTTTTATGTTGTCTAAGTAGTGGAACTTTATATATTCGAATCCAAAATGTAAATTATGATCTTTTTATTTTGATGAATTTAAAAAATGAATGAATTTCTTAAAAAAATAGTTGACTCAATGAAAAGTATTTAATTCACCTGGTTTTACTTAAAATAGATGTCCCCTTATTACATGGATTAACAAAAATTGAAATTTAGTCATATTTGATGGAATTCCATTATCTCTGACGCAAGACAACACATGCTTTAAAATATTTTAGAAAACGAGAAAATGAATGCATGATTTATGAATACAATAGTAATAAATGACATGTACAAGATTGATGAAATATAACATACCGATAAAAATAATAAATAAGAAAAAAAGCACACTAAAAATTCATATTAATTAAGTTGAAATTAACGAAGTATTCTTTCACTCGTGCATTTTAAGGAATCACACTCTATGTATATGGAGGTTTTTCCATAGACCACTCTTCGTTCGAGATATTCCTCATAAAATAAATATAATTTGATTTTTATTAAAATATTTGTTTATTTGATTATGAGGATAAAAAAGATACCTCTTATTCGAGTAACTCTCGGAATGACACTCCAGATATTTTGAGGCATTCCATAGATTAATAGAATAGAATGGGGCCTTACATCAACTAACAATCAAAAAGACATTTATCATTAAGGACAAAATATGTGCATAATTATGTATAATAGAAAGTTACATTTAATAAAATATTTATACATATGGTATTGTATCATACGTTTAATGTCTAATACTTATAAGTTTAAAAAAAACATTAAAAATGTAAAACATACATACGTATTAACAATATAGGAATTAGGAATAAATGAAAATAATACAAGGGTTTAAAGGTATAATAATAGACTTAAAAAAGGATAAATCGAAAGAAACATAGGTAAAAAGGATTAATCAAACAAATAATCCATGGCAAAACTAAATAATGAATAAACAGTGACTGCAGTGAATACAACATAAATATCATGGCCCAAATTAAAAATCAGTAAAAAATGTAATAACACACAAAAAGGGACTAAACTATAACCATGCATAAATTAAAGGCTCGAAATATGAATAAAATAAGTTCCATCCAGTGACTAAAGTGAGAACTTTACAAAAGTAGAGGTCCTTCTCGCATGATTAACATATGTGCAAACTCAAAAAACCCTAACCTTCAAAACTACATTGTTTTGGACATATTATATATATAAACCATTATAAATGTTTTGGGAGCCTAATCCCCACTTGATTCCCCCTATCACTCTGTTTCTCTCTTATTTTCCCTTCTATTTCTTTTTTTCACGAACAAACCTCCCTCATCCAGCCACAGTGAAACTCATCTCCAGCAGTCGCGAGTCACGTTGATCTGGGACAAAATTGGTCCTAGACGAACCCTTTCTTTCCTTTAGTTCAAATCTAAAACCTCATTTTGCTAGAAACTAACACCCAAGCCTAGATATAGGATTTTACCTTCAGATAACTCGGATTTCGGCAACGGTTGAACTTTCCAATGAGTTACGGGCTCCTCAATGATCAACAAAGCAAGATAAGTCTTCTTTTTTCTCTTTTTTTCTGTTTTATTGTTAATTTTTTTCTCTTTTTTGTATCCTCTTCTCTCTATTCCAAGAAAATCATTTTTTATCCTCTCCCTCCAATTTTCGGATTTGATTGCATGCTCATTTGAAGCCTTAGTTGGTTGCTTGGTGAAGGTTGTTTGTAGAAGTTAGGTTAGGGGCATGGGGCTATAGGATTTTCGAGATTTGTAGTTGGATTCACTATTTTTTTTAATTTTAATTTGAGTTGGTTTGATTTGGATAGGTTGAGGCAATGATTATTGCTAGGTGACCGGCGGCAAGGGTGACTCTGGCGATTGCTCTTTTCCTCCCTGATAACGGCAGTTATAGTAGAAAGGTTAGGGTTAAGATTAGGTTAAGGCTTAGTTTATGTTTTGGGCTGATTTTGGTTAACCCGGACAAAATCGAGTTTTTACAACTGCCTCTCTTTGCTTGTTGTCGTGAAACGAGAATAAAGCAAAGATAAATAATGACCTATTTTTCCATCTTGGGTGTTTACGTTGAGTCTAAAAATTACGTTCTTTATCTAAGGATCAAAAATCCTGAAAACAAAATTGTTCGTTCATGTTGAGGATGTTTGGTCGTACTTCAGTGATTTGATCTTTATTTGAGGGGTGTTTGAAGATGATTTTGTTCCTTCATGTTGAGGAAGTCTAACCATCTTTAAGTCATTTGCTTCGAAGCTTGATATTATCCCAAATGAGACTGAAAATGATTCTTATCTCAAGAGAGATGACTTTTCAAAATCTTGTTTCAAGAGAAAAAATTCTCAAAAGAGTTAAAATTTATAATGCTAGAAGTTGTACTTTCAAGAGAAAGAAATTTTAAGTAAAACAAAATTTGTTTAAAGAGAAATGAGGTCAATGCTTTGGGTTCCAAAGGAAACTATCTTGAATGAGACAAAGTTTGTTTCAAAATAAATTATCTCATGAAAGATAAAATTTTCCTTTTGAGAGAGAACTGCCTCGAGTGAGGCAAAATTTGTTTAAGTTTGTGTTTCAAGGGAAACTGTGATAATCAAGATAAAGTTTTGCTTCAAGAGAAACAATCTCAAAGGATACAAGTTATTTGTTCCTTTGCGTTTAGGAAGTCTAATCGTTGTTTGATAAGTTGATGCTTTATTTGAGAATGTTAAGTTTACTGACGACATTGTTCCTTCGTGTTGAGGAAGTCTAGTCATATTGCAAAGATTGTGCATCTGAAGACAACATTTTTCCTTCACGTTGAGGAAATCTGATTGCCTATAGATAATTTGACTTTGGAAATTATATTGTCCCTTCGTGTTGAAGATATTTGGTCGCTTCAGAGTGATTTGCTTGATATTAAATCTGATGATGACATTGTTCATTTGCGTTGAGGAGGTCTAGTCTATAGACGACATTGTTCCTTCGTGTTGAGTACATCTAGTCATATTTGGATAATTGTACCTGGGGAGACAACATTGTTCTTTCACGTTAAGAAAGTCTTATTATCTAGAGATAATTTGATTTTGTAAATGACATTTCCCCTACATGCTAAAGAGATCTGATCGCTTTTGGGTGATTTGCTCGATGTCAAATTTGATGATGACATTGTTCATTCACGTTTGAGGAGGTTTAGTCATAATTAAAAGATGATTGATCTACTAATGAGATGGATTTCCCGAATCATGTTTGAAAATGTCATAAGCTATGATTCCATGTGTGTCATATGTAATATGTCCTAAAAATGATCGAATGCAATTGTGATGAATGTTTGATGCAATTTTGCCTGATTTAATATGGGAACTAAGACTTCATCTCTTTTGGTGAACGATCTTCAGTTATAGCAGATAAAATTTCCCTTAATGTCTACTTTGGTGGCCTTAGTTCATATGCTATTTAACATTGATGGCCAACTCCTTCTACTATTTATCCTTGGTGTCCAACTCCCTTTACTATTTAACATTAGTGGCCAGATCCCTAACTATTTGGTACTTAGCGTCGATAACAAATTTGCTTATTGATGCCTTTGATTTATCTTTTCTGACTTGATTGAGGAACCAGGCTTTTAGCAAAAGTCGGATCTTCTTGAAATAATTCAATTAATTGAGATCGGACATTGGGTATCCCATGTAATTCTTGACTTGGGTCAATCTGTTCTTTTTTCCCCAACAAATTTTACCCCAAAATTTTGATTTTTCTTGCCCTAGTTCTGATTATGAACTTATATGTCTTAAGAGACCCTTATCAATTTCCAAGATCTATTCCTAGGGAGATTGTCTTGTTTGAAAATGTTTCTCTTTCCTCTTTCTATTTTTCAAAAGGTGAAAATGTTTAATGAATAAGTTTTGAAAATGTTTGATGAAAGAATTTTGAAAAAATGTTTGATGAAGTTTTGAAAAATAGTGCCCCTTACTTTGG